GGGTGTCCAACTACCATGGCAGCCTGGACGCCATTCAGCGGAGCCTGCAGGGCACAGACATTGACCAAATTTCGAGCTTTAAGTTGTTCTGGAATCACTACAGATCCTTGCAGAGTCCTGGGGGGGCATGTATGACTCACGTCTTCAAATCTGGTCTTTCTTGTTGTGAGAGGGTTATCTGCCGTATTTTTGCCAAGGCATTTATGCATACGGATGTGGGTGTTGGCTATATATCCTTTCCAGGACTGGAGGGAAAGGATGTGGAGCAAAAGCTGCGGATCATGACTTTTTGTGGAGATATCCTTGGACCCTAGTCGTGGCAGCACATCGCGTCTTCAGCGTCTAAAGGTAAGTGAGTCTGGCCGCAAGTTGAAGGTATTTCTCGCAAGTGAGGCTTGGATCGTACGGCATCTGTCGGAGCTTGCAGTCCTGCAAGCATCTTGCATTTGAGTAGCCGTATTCTCTAGCGGGCTGCAAATCGTGGCTTCAGGCACATTCTCCCCTCCATATACCGTGCCTTCCTGCTTTGAGAGCTACCTTTTTGCTTGCATATGGCTGCAACCGTGAGTCAACATAATCCCACCATATCCCACCGAATCCCAGCAGCGGCCAACCTAAGTGAGCCACACACCATGGGTTGCATGTACCTCCTGCATCCTCTGGCCGTGATGAAGCAAAAGTCATGGCCCCACCATGAACATATCCTCTTCGCTCGACGCAGAGGTATGAATTGCGGAAGCTAGGCTTGCCTCGGAATAATGCTTTCTGCCCAAGATGACCACGTTTGGTTTTTTGCATCCCAGGTGCTCGAAACAATCTGAGCCTCCAGTCCCAGCCGTCAGCGGGTACTCCAGGTACGGTAGCAGCCGCACGGCTGTTGAAAGATTAGGAGAGAGAATAGATTTGACGAGTATGGATGATGTCACGCGCGTTGAACTTTAGGGGGCTGACTGTCCGGGCTGCTTGCAAGATCTGGCGGACTTTTTGGATGCTTGATGTTGGCTGACATCATGTTCATCCATCTTGTCGAAATTCAGGGCAGCTGTCATTGAGGGAACTTCCCTAAATGAGCCCCACAGCCCCCGTTCACTTCTGCACTCAGGAGATGTACACCTTTGGTGCGCCAGCCGTCTCCCGCCCAGCGATGCCGGACAAGAGCCAAGCGGACCCCAATGGAGATTCATAAACATGACACGAATCGGTTGTACCATTGCTGCTACCAGAAGTTCGTCAGACTAGCCTTGTGTACCATTTGGCTGTGACAGATTTCGATTCGCTTCTTTACGGTCATTCCCTGCCAGACCGCATGGCCAAAGGCCAACCTAAAGGCGCTTGGAAGCAAGCGCCAAAAGTAGGGTTTTTAATGCAAAAAGACCGGGAAGGAGACCCTAAGCATGTAACGTACTGTCGCTGCTGCTGCTCTGCTGCTGCTGCTGCTGCTGCTACTGCTGTCGCCCCTGTCACCATTTCTGATTCGGCACGGAGCTTTGCCTTAAGTGCGGGCATCAACTGAGCTCCACCTCGCAACATCTTCAGAGGCTTGCCCTCGGCATTCCACTGGTAGCTCCTTCCATGAAGGACAACTGCTTCCGCGGCTTGCGCGTTTTTACAGCTACTTGGATGTGAACATGCAGAGTGGCCCAATTTTCCTTCGCATGTATAGTGGAAATGGATGAAGGCAAATCCTTACTGGGTGGCAGGGACAATGCTGGGGATGGATGATGCGGAGCATTTAAGATACCTTCCTGCTAGAAAGGTATTCTGGTCAACGGTCATGCTAAATGCATTTTATTTCCTCGCAGTGTCGGGCCTTCCGGGGTGCCTTGCTAGGTCAAAAGGGGTCCATTTGGATTGCCTAGTTTGTTCTTCGTGCTTCATGGATGCTGTCAGACCAATATTGCCCGTTTGATTCCTGCACATCCACAGTACAACTTACGGGTTCGTAGTAGGGAATAAGGGAATGTAACTCCCATATACTCTGATATAATGGATTCCCTTATTCCAAATAAGCCCCAGTAGTCAAGTGATCCCAGCATCACGAAGGCCAGCATGGATATTTTCTGTCTTGAACCCACCACCCAACGATTGGTTGCTTCATGCCCAGTCGTGCTTCTGGAGCGTATTCAGGAGAACAAGCTTGCGGGAGGAGGGCGGCAAGTGGATGCAGCATCGATGTTTGATGCCGCTTTTGCGGCACCTGGAAGGTTGTCTATGAGCTTGGCATTCCCCTAGGCTTTGTGCCGTTTCGATAACCACCTGAAAGACCTTTTCCCAGGCCAGCCCAATTCCGGCTTCTTTCATCCCATCTCTTTCGTACATGGAAACACTTTTGACGGGATGCCAAACGTTTGTTGGTACTTCGTCGGACTGACCAGGCTGCAGTTTGCTAGGAACATGCGCATGTTGTAGCTGACAGTCATATTCTGTAGCTGTGTGTTACATAGTGGAATTTCCAGACCTGTTGCGAAGGCGTATGCCCATCCGATCATTGCGACTTTGGCGCTCGACTGGGGGCAGGACACGGGTTTAAAAGAACCACCAGTTGTGCTCCAAGGTCTAGACTCTTTAGTCGGGATGCAGCTCATGACGGCAACCCTTACACTACCCCTCAAAAGCGACTCGATGCACGCCAATTCAAGAGCAAAGTCGTCGTCACAGTTCCGTGTCTCGGGGTTCCGGGCTTTGGAGTCCATGGTCTAAGAAGATCTAAGAAGCATATGGTAGCACAACATGGGCTCAAGTCATGGCAAAGTGTCAGGACTCCTACTACGTCCCATGCCCTGGTGACGTGACCTGGCCAAAAGGCCGAACGCAGCCAACTGCTGATTCTTCACGAATTTTCCCTGAAAACATAGCAAGTTTGCGCAGTGTAAGGCGCTAAATCCCGTGTCGTTGGCGTAGCAGTCCTTGGCACACTTACTTGCCAGCGTGGGGTGAGCAGTGCATGGAGCCCAAGCTGGGGGTCAATGCCTGAGCTGTGTTTTGCTCGAACTATCAGTCATGGATCGCCCCACCCACGATCTTCCTTGATGATCTCGCTTGAACTCCCTATTTCTGCCTCCTACTCGTGGACAGGTGGTGCAGCAAGTTGGGGTCTGCACTCAGAGACGCACTATGCGCCCAGACTCAAGGCGCACATCCTTGCAGACATTCCATGCTCATCACGGCATAGTGACTCGTGGGAAGTGAAATTGCCTTCTGGGAGAGCCAGTGAGGGACAACCAAGTTGGGTGCTACTGTACGAGTAGGCCAGGCCATGCGAACCAACAGGCAACATGCATTCAAGATTTGTTGCGTCAATGTCATGTTGCACACCACTTCAGACTGGACACTGGCAAGTTTCTGTTTTAGGGTGTGAGGACAGGATCTCCAGCATCAGTTTGCGGATCTCGGCTGGATGTGGGATCTATGGGTAGTGCGCGGCATGAGAAGTGTTAGGCGATCTTCTCAGACTTTCACCCTTGGCAAGCTCACAAATTGTTCACTGAGCCCTACCTGAAACATTGACGGTGCGCGTCTCCGTCTCTTGATACCTGCCCGTCTGTACCAACAGGAGGTGACCATCGAGGGGAAGAAATCAGCAGCAGCAGAGCCTTTCGCCATGGCGAACAAGATGGTGCCGTCTCCTTTCTAGCTTGTGAGGATGCAGCGCTTGGAGCAACAGCTGTAGCTTCTGTCAGAGGTTGCAACTGCATCGAGGGCAGGATGGTTACATTTCCAGTTCAATGCGTTACAGCTATTAACTAGACGTCACAAGACACCACAAGCCTTGCCAAGAAATTTGCTAAAGCCGTGTTCTAAATTGGCAGGTCACCCTGGCATACAAAAGCTACGACAGCGTGGCGAATACGAAGAAGGAGCCTTTCAAACTGTTGGTTTTGAGCACGCTCTCTGGAGGTTTGTCGGTTTTCCCTGTCAGGCAAACGGGCCAAAAAGCAGACACACAAAAGAATTCGACTTTGCTGGCCACGCAGCTGTAAAGCCCTGGCTCGAAGCATTCCTGTAGTGCGTCCAGAGATTGCACGACACCATGGGAGCTTGCCATGCGCGCGTGCAGCAGGCCAGGCAAGTTTTGCCTTTGGTTGGGTCAGCAGCGGGGCTTGGATTTGATGAATGAACAAATATGGGCGTCTCAACTTATCTGAGCTTCGCAAGGAGAATCTCTGGTGCATTTGCAGTGAGCTTTGCCACTTAAATTTGCTTTGTCGGTTGAGACCTCCAGTGGCTAATGCTGCTTCAGAGTGAGTTGCCTGCTAGATGCCATACGACCCGGCCCTGGACAAGCCCATCATCGCCGCCCTGCTAGGAACAAGGGCAGACCTGGGGTAATTGATGCAGGATTTGTTGTGGTGTCACGCTCTCAGCCTCCGAAGGCCATGCCAGTTTTCCGAGGATCGGATCCACGCAGAGTTGCGGCACGCAGATGCTTTCCAGCGGCCAAAGCAACAGCCTGCAAAGCTTTGTGACGCCTGAGCTGTGTTTAGAAGGTAGTTTCCCAAAATAGGGGGACCCCAACATAGACCCCCAAATACAATATAATCCTTGTTATGGGGACCCCCAAAAGTGTGCCCCTAATTTTGGGAACTAGCCACAAGGGGTAGGGTGGGTTCAAGGTGTGCAGGCGCTGGAGATCCAGGGAAGTTTTTCACGGAAGGAGCTCTCGCTTGAATTCAGCGTGAAGGGGCGCATAGAGTTCAGTGGTAAGGCTTACCGAAAAATTGCTCTCAGAAAAGGTCCTGCACTCCAATCCGCATCGGCGTTTTCCAAAAAGCAAGCACTTGATTTGCAAACCTCAGGCCCTGTTCTTGTGAAGCTCGTGCGCTTGAGGCTCCCAACCTCAGGCTATAGATCAAATACGGGCTTGTCCACGGGAACATGACATGCGACAAGCCGTGCCATGGGCAAACTCTTAAGCTTGTAGTGTTAGCTCTGACCGTTCCCTGCTGAAGGACTGGGGCCTCTACCTGGGAGGCCTGCAGGACGTCACGGACTGCAACAAGATGCAGGATACCTTCATGCCGCACGGCCTGTTCGAGTATGGAGGAATAGAAGCCAAAGCTGTAGAAAAGGAAGTATCCCATGTTGCTCCACAAGCACGTTGGATGAAGTAGACGCCCGTGGCGCCCTGTGTCTTTGTGCAGGAGCTGGGCATCCGGGGTATAGCAAACGTTGCCTCTTCTGTGTGCAGCTTGGCAAGATGAAATTCTTGGACTGGATACAATCAAAAGCAAACCCTTCTCGCGCTCTTTGTCGCCACCCTGGTTGATTTTCACTCCACAGCCGCCCCTGAACTTGGGCGACCTCCCCTCTCCCCCAATTAGTTTTATCAAAGGCTTTTTATCGAAGCCGAATCCTAGACCAAGACCATCCCTTTAAAAATCAATCCCGAGAAACCTCAGAATCGCGGGAGGTTCTGAAGCCGTTCTTCAAGATGCCATATTTCTAATTATCCGGACCCTTTAGTGTTAGGGTTGGATGGGGGGGCCTAAGCTTAAACCCAGTCCAACATTACAGCATTTCAACCAAAACGTCAGTGCAAACCCTTCTTTGTGCACTTGAGCCTCCTGAGGCATTTACACTCCGCGCGGGGAAGTGTCCCCAAAAGACATGCGGATGCTTCATATAGATGCCGATGATGACGCCTGACCAGCCGTCTTGAGAAGGGTATGTTGGTGGTGAAAAAAGCCTTCCAATGTGGTGGACTCCAGGGCATTCATGCAAGTTTCCTTCTTTTTAGGCAGGCATTTCTGCAACAATGGAGCACTCAGGAAGGTTTAGTTATTCGTTTCTGTTGCACCTTTGGTTTGCGAGCGGAACCTCTTTGGACGGGCACGCGTTTGTGCCTAATTTCTTGATTCCTCGAAGATGTGTAATATCAAAACTAGCTTCTGAATTGACTGTGTGGTCAGCCGTTGCTCATAGTATTCTGAAACTTCTGCTTATGATGTCCGTACCTAATTTGCATGAAGGCGCGCAGGCCACAAATGGGGGGGGGGGGGTGGGGCGAGACTAAGGATGAGCATTATCCACTGCTGGAGAAGCACTTGTGCGAGTTCGAAATGCTTCTTGGGCTGCGACTGGCGGGGCTTTCTTTGAGCTCAGATCTTGACCACATGGAAGAACTTCGAGCGAACCATCGAGGTGCAGTTAAACAGGCTTGCAGACACGTGCAGTAAACATGGTACTTCACGCGCATACTGTGTTGCGACGGGGTGCGAGCCCAAAATTCCAAGACAACTGTTCGGGCAGCTCTCGGTTCTCCTAGGTTCATCCAGAAGGCAAAAGAAGACGGCGTCAAGCAGCTTGCCACGAGGAGGAATAAGAGTGTTACGTGTAAATCCACCGCAAGACCCAGACGTTAAATTCTTGCATGATGTTGGCTCTGCAAATCGGGTGGTTGCGCATGTGTGCTTGCTGCTCGCAATTCCTACGGAGAGAGCTTTTTGTGCAGAAAGCCCTCACGGGAGAACCATACTTGGAACCCGTTTGAGCTTCAGCTGTCATGGGAACTTTGCGAGTACTTGCTACTTTGTGTCTCCAGCTCCTTAATTGTGCTGATTTCTCATGCATGCTGAGGCATTGACTGGGAAACCGGGGAGGTTTCTAAAGCATCCCAGGAAGGATCTACAGCACTTGCAGCAAATACTGTGAACTTAACAGACCGAACGGTAGTCAAGACTTAGCTGTCTTGCATCATGTGTCATCAAGAACAGAGCTTGATTTTGTTGCTGTCACGAAGACATGGATTGGTACGGGGGGCATAAGCGCTGTAAATGTCTTGAAGACTTGCAATCACGGATCCACCTCAGACCCTCCTACCGTCCTACCAACTGGGCAGGACCTCATGATTTTTGTATCTTATGACATCCCGACTTTCTGCGGGCTAGCAGGGAGTAAAGGAAGATATTTTGTGTAGGGATTATGTTCAATTCCCTTCTTCCCTACTGTAAGTATGATCTCCCAGTATTCCCCGTTTACTATGATTAGGCGGGCACCCCTCACGGGACCCACCCGAAATGCATGCGCAGCGTCGCTTGAACATGTGCAAGTGGTGAAAGTGCTGGCAGGGTGGGGAATGTGGCGTTACGGCAGGAACGCGCCGGAGTCACGCGTAACCATTTTCGGTGCCCAAATCTGGGCACCGAAATGACTGAGGTTTCAGTGGTTAAAACTGCAGTTTGGCAGTCTACCGCAACGGGCTTTTTTGCACTGCGAGGCGTCGCCGTGGCAGAGGACGACACCCACCATCTGCCAAACCTCTTGCTGAGCATTCCAGTGTTTCCAGTGAAACTCTATCACACGCTGCTCAATCGTCTTTTGGCGCTGAGCTTGCGAACCACGGGGAGATCCTACTTCCATCAAGATACCTACTCAGTTACTCGTGCAGAAGCAACCCTCTAAGCTTTCTTCTATGCTTGCAGGGGCGTGGCAGCAGCAGAAGCAACGGTGGAATGTAAACAAGCTGTACAAGAAGAACCTAACTTTAGAGGATAGTGAAACACACAGCCCTGACCTTATCAATGTTGGATCCCCACGAAGTTCACCCCTCACCCTTCACTAACAGCCTTGCGGGTGTCTGTCTACGCAAACAGGAGCATGGCAGCGGCATGAGCAAACACAGCGGCAAGAAATACCAAAAAGGTGGGTCCAGTAAGTTTGTTGCGGTACCGGCGAAGCTGCCCCGCCCCCACCCCAACCCCCAGCTGATCATTCTGAATGCGCTAAAAGGGTGGGTCCAGTAAGGGGCAGAGGCCATGATTAGTAGTGTCAATTTTCCTTTCCATTCTTCCCTAGATCTGACCCCTAGACACTGAAGCCTGTCTCCGACATGCCAAGGACAGTGGTTCACTGCAAAGCCGGCCAGAACCGGAGTGCTGCCCTATGCGCCAAGCTTGGATGCATCACCAGGTTTATTAATATTTGTCTTACCATTACTATGATTGTCATTCTTATTCTTATTATTACTACTGTCATCTTTACTAATGGTTACTATTGTCACTTTGAGTCTTCTGACGCTTGCGTGATCTTAGTTGGCAGCAGTGAGCTTCCAGCATGAAGATTTCTGGCAGACCTCTAAGAGCGCAAATGCGAGGGGCAGCCTACGATTCAAATGATCTGCAAAGGCCTTCTAAGCTGAATGCCCCACACCCTTTAAAATGGTCCGCAAATGTTGTAGGTGCAGCTTACCTCATTCACGCTGAGCGCATGAAGCTGATGGATGTCACTCGCTCATGTATGGAGTGAAGGGTTCATCAGAAGTGGGTTGTCTTACATATAGCCTTGATTCTAGAAGTGGCTGTTGAATATGATGAACAGGATATCCCAGCGCCTCTGTTGGAAGCTGCATTGAGCTTGAAGTTGGCCTTTGACTGCTACACAATCTTTGTCATGCTCGTTGCGTCCATCTTACTTTCTTGATGGCCTTGGCGTCGGCGGCTTCTGCTCGTAGGTTCCAGGGACGCCTCGGGGAAGCAGAAGCAAGTAGCAAATAGCAAAGCCAACCTTTCAGCACCCCACAAGCCATGGTCAATGGTTGGCAAGGCTTGGTTTTTGTTGTGGCAGCTCATGTGCTTGCATGTAGATGCCACCTGTGACCCAGGCTATCCAGCTTTTGGTTGAAAGACGCGGTGGGCACCTCAGGATTGTATTGTAGGGAGGTTAGAGAGAACATGTGCCCTGTGCCCGGCAATAACCTTGGCAACATGAAGTACAGCACCAACCGTACCATATGCTTGCAGCTGTCGCAGAGATTTTGTCCGACAACTTCCCAAGCACCTTTCAAGAAGGAGTTCTAGATTAGGGGATCGTTTGGACCACGACCTGATCGCTTTAGGATTGGTGTCCCTACGCATTCTGCGTAAGTTGGTAAATCCAAATGTGCACCTGATCGCACGTTGTCATTTTCTTCTCCATTATTCCTACGTATAGATATGTATATCCTGTCATGCCCCCATTATTCACCGATTTCACCCATATACCCTTGTTATACCCCTGTATCTGCCTTTTCAGGTCTTGTTCTCACAAACTGCCACTTCCTGCAAGAGCTCGTTCAGCTGGCGCGGTCGGAGCATCTGCTGGACTAATGCTTGCAGGCCCACCGACGTCTCGTGCGTGTTGATTTAAGTCCAAAAGATTCTTTCTTCCTGTAGGGTTTTTGGTTTAGAGTTTAGGNNATCCCCCCCCCCCCCCCCACAATAATTAGACACCCCTGCCAGAGAATTGAAAATCCAGAATTGCATTTTTTTGAAGGGCCAAGACTGCATCTCAAAGGACCAATTTAGGATGGCTTCAAGAAAACACAGCGCATTGGGGATCTCCTTGGTTTTCTAGGTGTTTTATGGGTTTTGCATGGCTCTTCTAGAAGAATTCATACAAAATCCACATGCTGCTTTTCAAGCTGATTTTAAATGATGTAATCTAGTAGATTTAACATGGAAACTAAATGGGGGCCCTACAATTAGTTACCAAAAAATAATATCACCCTATCCCCTCCCAGTGTGTTTATTATGGGGGTGTGGGGGGACGGGGGGGAAGGGATTGAATAAAGGAACAAACAGATAAACACATATATATATATAATATGCATCTGTATAATGCGTATTTATACTCTCGGGCTTACGCCGCACATATTCATTAGCACCCTTGTAAAAGAGTTGCTGTAGAGTCTGTAGAGTTTGGGTTTCCCCTGCTCGTCTATGACACTAGAAGCTCCCGGCTGGAGCTTCACTTCTCCAACAAAGTCAACCGCACGTATTTTCTGGAGTTAGATTCCCTCTTGTGCAGTTGACCATTTGTTTCATCGCGATTCTGGAGAAAGAAGTCCTTTGGTTGTATTCCTTGTATGAAAGTGTTTTACTCATAGAGGAAGAGAACCGGCCCTGCGGAGTTCTGCATGCTTCGCAGGCATTTTTTGCCAAGATATACGAAAGCCGTATCACACCTCCTGAACATGCAACATAAAGCCAGGAGGCTTTGAATTTGACCTTAAGCCCTAAACAGCAGTTTCCATTTTATTTTCCATTATCCCAATGTAACCCTTACACAACCCCAATATTACCTGTTACAGTGCCTGAAGGAGCTCGAGATGATCCTGCAGCTGAGCCATGCAGCTTTCTCAAAGAGTCCTTACGGTTGCAAGTTCTTTTCAGGGTGCAAGAGGCAGCATCCTTTTGTACATATTTGTCTGTATTGAAAGCTCGACAGCCAGGTACAGCATAAGCACTTAGTCATACTTCATTTTGGGCACTCTTAGCCATGCCTTTAAGCTGAAGGGCCTGCAGCCATGCAGCCTTGGATCTCTCCAGGCAAACTCCACGACTCGCAAAGAGCGGTCTTGGTGTCTGAACCTTCTTGACACCGCCAGAGCATGTTTTGATCTGTGAGGGCACAAAACGTCTTGCCATAAGTGTGCAGCTGAATCCCACATGCTGCGAAAAAGGCATAGGACAAAAGTGTTGCAAACCCTGAGCGTGACATGCGTTTGGAGAAATGCTCTACGACGGTGTCAGCATTTAAGCCCATTAGGGACCTATCTTTTTCAAGCCTGCCGGGAAGCCGCTTGAAGTAATCGCGTTTGATGCTGCAGCAACTCGAAGGCTTGAAGTCTACGTGTGGAGGTCATGCCAGGCTCATATAATGCTATAAACTCCTCTACGGGGAGTATGATAGGGTTCTTAAGGGGGATACTGGAAGTTTAGACTATGGCTCATATGGGTCTTGCCATTAAATGGGGGTCAGGAATTCATGACAAGGAGCATGTTTGAGCCCTTCAATACATACCCCGATGACACGCCGATCCAAAATTACACGCACAACGTGCCTTTAGTCAAGAGCCCGGTGCCTCGAAACATACCTCGAAACATACCCCGAAACATACCCCGATACTTAGCCCCAAACATGCCCCAATCCAAGCATGCTTTATGAACCACGTTTTTGCCGGAAGCGCCCTAACATAATGCTATAGCATATTTACCTTTGTGGCTTCCATCCCATTTAAATCCGCATCCGCGTTGCAAGTTTTGTTCCCACAGCAGTGCGACACGATCGCTGCACAGGTACACTGGATCATGGTTGATTAGACATAGATTTTCAGGATTAATTCAGCGCAATTGTCATCAAGGATGTTTGCGGACATGCTAAGGGATTTCGCGACACGACTATAGCCTAGATAAGGCTCAAGGATACGGCCAGCAGCCTGTGTCGCCCAGCTCCAGACGATTTAACAGGCTTTGGGCTGCAGAATGCCCAAGGTGATTGTGCGGCTCATTTTGAAACCGCACAAGTCTGTTTTTCTGTCGCCTACCCCACTACTGTGATGTGGCAAGCTCTCCCGCGCAGCCGGGCCTTCTAGGTGTAGCCTTGATCGTGTTCGGCTTGCAAGTTGGAGTTGCGAGCTTTCACAGCCAGTTTTGCTGAAGCCCCTCGTTCTACATCAGTTTCGCGTGCGCGGTCAGGCACCGAGACAGGGCACAGGGTCTTCAATCTTACTGTGAGGGTGCGGAGCTATTGGGATAGTTAACCATGATTATGAAATTTCATCATGTCTCAGATACATGCAAGGCTGCGCGAGGGCTGCGCGTGCTTAGAATACATACGTTCGCCTCATCAGCCTTGTAGTTCGAAGCGAATGGAAATAGGGTGAGACGCAGAGAAATGCAAGGGATGGCGCACTGCAACAAGCAACAGGTATCTCGTATCTCTCAGGCAACCAATACTCCGTCAGCAGAGAGAATCTCCTTGATGTCTGATAGTCCCCGAGCTGCCCTTTGGGGTCATTTCCGACAATTCCTGATTGGACTTGAATCTTCCGAGATCTTTCTCGCCCTACTCGTGCCACGGACCGCATGCGCCACGTTTGCAAGTAGCCATGGGATGCAGCACTTCAGACAACTGGAAGATCTCAGAACCTGGCGCCTTCAAAATTCCTCAGCAATCAGATTAGTTTCTGGCCTGGGTTCTGGGAAGCTGACAAGAAGCTGCTCCGGGGACAATGCTCCTATTGAAAGGCCGGCTCCAAGACATCCTCCCCAGGCAAGAAAGAGTCAAGGCATTTGGCCTCCAACGCCGCGCCTAGTTCGCATGAAGTCCACGGAGCTTGGATTCCGAAGGAGAAACAGCAAAGCATGCGCTTGCGATTACGCATCAGAAAAGGAACTGCCAACTGCCAAAAATCTACCAAGCAAGACCTAAAGATGCTTGAAAGCCACAAGACTCTTCAAATATGATGTGTTCGCCTCCGCCGGAGTCCTCAGCAACGGCAAATTGCAGTGCCGAGGAAAGTGCTAAGACTGTTAAGACTGAGCTCGCCAGAACGATGGCATGTTCCAGCCAGCAACCGCGAATCATGAGTACAGCGCAGTGCCTGGGAGGAGATTGCACAGAAGCTGTCGGAATGGCGGCTCATCGATCGTCATGTGTTTGAGTTGCCTGCTTGCACCTGATCATGAGGTAAGTGCTAAGTTTAGTGAGCATTCAACTTACAAGGGTAAGAACCAGATAAAAAGCGCAAAATGTACAGTCCTTGCGCCTAGGTACGGCTAGCTTAGGTCTGAACCAAGCATGTGGCCCACCTTCTTGAATTCTGACCTCATAATAGTTATGAACACCTCTTGCCGATCGTTCTAGTTCTATCCAGTTCTGCTGCAACAGAGTGGGCGGCATGCAGGCAATCAGGACGCTCACGAGGGATCAACCATAGTTCCTGATACTAGGTATAGTCCGGGATGCCCCCAAAAACGGTGTGTATGTGACGGCCTACGGACCTACATGCGAGTCGCCTCAAGGTGACTGCGTCCTAGAGATGCCGGTCCAGTAAGGATCGCCGAGCACACCAGTTCGCTAGGCAGAACAGAGACTGCTGCGTTCAGAATGAACGAATGAATGAATGAAATGAATGAATGAATGAATGAATGAAATGAATGAATGAATGAATGAATGAATGAAATGAATGAATGAATGAAGGAAGAACCAGATAACCAGAAACAACGACAAGGACAGCCAGCAGCAGAGGCACTAGCACGAGCACCACAAGCACCACAACCGCCGCCAGCACCGCCAGCGCTACCAGCACAATCACCATCACTATCAAAAGCAGCAGCAGCAGCAGCAGCAGCAGCAGCAGCAGCAGAAACCTCAGCGTAGTGCCGTGGTCTTGGTCAACGTGGTCGTTATCATCGTCGTCGTCGCCAAAGCCACCGCCGAGGCGTCGTCGTCGTCGTGCTCTTGCTCGTGCTCGTCCTCGTGCTGCTGCTGGTCGTGCTGCTGCTGCTGCTGGTGGTGGCGGCGGTGGTGGGGGTGGGAGTAGTGGTACCATGCGGTACCATCATCAGCAACAATTACAATAGCAGTGGCAGCGGCAGCAGCAGCGACAAGAAGGTTAATGGTGGTAGTAGTGGTAGCGGTAGCGGTGATGGCGGTTGTCATAGTTAAAGCAAGCCCGTTAATTAACAATCATCACGTAGACACGCGACGACGACGACGACGACAACGACAATTCGCGACAACAATGGCAAATAAAGCTGCCATTGGAAACAGAACATGTAGATGGCCAGGAGCCAGCAACTGCGTGCTCACTGCCATCTATTTCCTAAAAGCAGCCTGGACAGCACGTACAAAATCCTGCGAGGCACCCGGACGGCACCCTGAACTGGAAACTACATGACCAACCTTTTTTCCGTATATCATAAAGTTGAAGAATTAGTTGTGCTACTTGGGGAAACGAACAGTTTTGGCAGCTTCAATCGAAACAGCATTTCAACAGTAAGCTCATTCCGTATGTGTGGGCAAGGGGGGCTTTCCCACGATGCGACACCCCCTCCAGCAGCCCGTGCGTATTCCTAAGACATCGTTAGATGGGTTCCATGTGCCTCTGTATCTCCGCCTCCTTTGCACAGGTGGACCAGCGGGGCCTATGATGACGACCCCATCCTCCTAGCACAGAACAGCGACTCGCCATGACGAAAGCAGTATGTCATGTGCGCTGCAACCACAAGCTCAGACGCAGCTTTTTGGTGGGCAGCAGTTGCCTGATGCCACACCAACCAACTGACCAACCAACCAACAGCATATCTAGCTCCAAAGGAAG